TGTACTATTGTCGTTTATAATTTGTACAATTAACCTCTCTGTGGTTCGACCCCGGTCTTGTCGGGTTATTTATTACTTCGACACTCCTGCACTTGGTAGAAGACATCAATCTTTTAGTTGTGTCACTTTGCATCTTTCCCAAGCTTTTATTTCATTTTGACCAACTAATTTTGTTGGTTTGTCATTTTATCTATATAATTTTTTTAAAAAAAAACTTAATGTACTTTAAGTTAATTTTTTACTTATACATACATTTTTCTCATTCTCATGTACTTTATGCCTAATATGACCCTTTTAATTATGTCTTTCATCTTTAATATTTCATAAACTCATTTATAGTAATTTTGATATTTTCTTCTAACTTAAATGTTTCTTGTGTCCATATGTGGCAAGTCTCATTATTATTTTTCCAACTCAAATATTTTTTATGCTTATTTATGGAATAATTCATTATTTTGCCAATACAATTATTTTTATATTCATTTATGGAACATTACAATATCTTTTCATCTTAGTATTTTTCTTGTGCCCATTTATAACATATTCAATTATTTTTCTATCTCAATATCTTCCTTGTTTTTATTTATAACATATTCAAATATTTTTTTCATATCATATTTTTCTTGTGTCTATTTATGGCATATTCAAATACCATATAATAAATTCACCTATTATGGACAATTTATATATCACAAGTTAAATTTCATCATTTTAATCCATTCAAATATCACATATTAAAATTCATCATTGTAGTCCATTCAATTTTCTGTATTATAATTTTCACCATTGTATTCCATTTAATTACCATATATTTAAAACACAATTATATACCCTGTAGGCATAGTTTACATAATTTTACTATCTTGTCCTATAAGCATAATTTATTTGTATTAATTCTCTTCTTTATAGACATTATTTTTACAAAATTATTTGAGACTTTATCCAAGTGGTCGAGTATGATATTTATCACTTACATTAGTCTTTGTCTAAATAGCAAACTATATCTGTATCATATTTTACATCCAAAAATCTGAATATGATACCATCAAATCTTATTAGTTTATGTTCAAACAACAGACCATATATGTACCCATAGTTTACACCCAAATGTTCAATTATGATACCATCAAATCTCATTAGTCTTCATCTAAATGGCATACTATATTTGTATCCATAATTTATGTCCAAATATTTGACTACAATACTATTAAATCTCATTAGTTTCTTTCTAGATGGTAAACTTTCTCACACGTTATAGCTTCAGTCCAAATGGTCAGCTTTGTCACACATTACAGGGTCTACCATTGTGGTTAATTCAAAACACACGACAATTATCGTCATTGCGGTCATTCACAAAAATAATATTCATTACGATTGTTCACAAACTCAATACTTATTACTATTGTTACAGTTGATTACCAATCACATGTAGTATCATTGCTTTTGCGATCGATTACAAAACACATATATTTTCTTTTTCTAATTTCATGCAACACAATTAAATATACATTAAAAATCTAACAACTATACAAGCATTTTAAATAATTAAAAAGAGCAAGAAAGGGTAATCTCTTATGTGAAGCTCCTACTATCCAAGCTTGTAGAAGTTGGGTCCACCTTAATCTTTTCTCCTACAACTCCCAAACAATAATAATTAATACTCATATCACTAACGAAATTCAATCGTAGAAACCTCTATACATCTCAAAATTTCAATTAATACTCTTTAACAATTTTCTTTTAAAAAATAAACTCAATCACTCAAACCTTATACCATTAAACTCTCCAATCATTTGTAAATAATTTGATGTATTCATAATTTCTCCCCATTTTATATTTTCATACCAATGAACACATTAAACCAACAAGCTTATGAAATTCCAAGCTTTCCATCATTCAAATACATGAACATTATAAGTAAATTTTTAATAGATAACATTAAGACTTCCAAAACTAATATTCAACATTCCTAGCAACAATATTTCATAATTTTATCAAATTTCCATGACCCTAAAATCTCCATTGTGGCTAGCCATAATAGAGAATAAATTCCCATAATTTATTTGCAATTCTTCTTCAAGTCCCTCATCATAATGTAATCTAAATCATAATCGACCAATAATTTCACCACTTCACTTTCTAATCACTATTTACACATAAAACCTAGGTTTATAGAAAATTTATAAGAAAAATACAATTAATGTAAAAGGAATATCTTGCCACAATCAATCAATCATAATTTAATATGCCATTTGCACTAAATCCCAAGAATTTTTTATTTCCCTTTAAATTTCACATTTTCTCACTCTAAACAACAAACTTCCAATTCCTTGCTATTCTAAACTTCCTAGTTTGGATTGTTTCTCCCTTTAAAACTTACTTACAATACTCATCCAAGCCTTCTCTTTGAAAGAACAAGTAAGATTTATGGTGAATATAATAGAAATTTGAACTTTTGTTTTTCATCTTTAATGGTTGATGACTTTTCTTATAAAAAGGAAAGGATGAACTTATATCCATATTTAAAAAATTGCTATTG